CACACCAACTCATGGGGACTTGTGTCACCGTGGGGACCTAAATTGAGGTCCCCATGGGCACAGAAGCTTATAAATCATACAAAATTAGTTTTTTTATTTTTTATTATTATTTTGTAAAAATGCTCAAAGTTTTCTGTGAGGGGTAGGTTTAGGTGTTGGGTTGGTGTAGGGCAATAGAAAATACAGTTTGTACAGTATAAAAAAACATTACACCTATTGAATGTCCCCACAAAGTTAGCAAACCAGACGTGTGTGTGTGTATATATATATATATGTGTGTGTGTGTGTGTGTGTGTACCTGTTTTTCTATTCTGGTGGGGACTTAAACCTGAATACACACAGACTCATGGGGACTCGTGTCATGGTGGGGACCTAAATTGAGGTCCCCACGGGTAAACAAGCTAATAAATCACACAGAATGAAGTTTTTTGAAAATCTAAAAATGCAGAAAGTATCCTGTAAGGGGTAGGTTTAGGTGTAGGGTTGGTGTAGGGCAATAGAATATACGGTCTGTACAGTAGAAAAACCATTACGCCTATGGAGAGTCCCCAAAAGGATAGCAAACCAGACGTGTGTGTGTGTGTGTGTGTGTGTGTGCGTGTGCGTGTGCGTGTGCGTGTGCGTGTGTGTCTAAATTAGGATTAAATAGTGTTTAGCATTAAATAGCATTAACACTTTAATAACTAGTGATAATGAACTTCATAATATAACACAAATAAACTAAATGATTTTTTTAAATTGTAAACAGACACTCACATATAAATGCTGCATAAACACATATGTTAATTTCTTTAATAAAACATTATATACAGTACATAATACTTTATGACATTAAGAAGTTCATTATAGCTAGCTATTAAAATATTAACAGGATACTTAAATCCTCAGCCTGGAAACTCCTGATGTACTCTACATTATGTGGCCTCTACATTCTCTCTCTCTACATTTGAGCTACAGTGTATACTGATGGCCTCTAGCTTCTGAGATCTAAGGCTTACTCTGATCTTTGCACTTTTATTCCACACTTCTCAGTTTAAAAGTCATGTTGCTATTTTGAATCTCTTCACGACCTCTGCCCTTAGAGCAGTAGATAGATATCCGGCCCGCCCCCTTACAAATGAGAGTCAATAGGTAAGTTCAACTGTCATTCTGAAAGTGGAACACTGTGATTGGTTCAAAGCTGAATAGATATGACATATATGACAGGCCACATACCGGAATGCTATAAAAAGAGCAAAGCATAGGCACGCAGGGCTCACTGTCTGTAACAGAGTGTGTGCACAACAGCAAGGAGGGCTGTTTGGTGGGTTTAGTCTGGAAAATACTGTAGTGAAACCCAAATTCTTTCAAAATGGCTGCTGCTCATCGTCTAGTGATTGTACGCCATGGCGAGAGCTCCTGGAACCAGGAGAACCGTTTCTGTGGCTGGTTTGATGCAAACCTCAGTGAAAAGGGTCTGGAGGAAGCAAAGCGTGGTGCTCAAGCCATCAAAGATGCAGGCATGAAGTTTGATGTGTGCTACACCTCCGTTCTGAAGCGCGCTATCAAGACTCTGTGGACCATCATGGAGGTCACAGACCAGATGTGGCTGCCTGTAGTGCGCACCTGGCGTCTGAATGAACGTCACTACGGTGGTCTGACTGGTCTGAACAAGGCAGAGACGGCAGCCAAGCACGGAGAGGAGCAGGTCAAGATCTGGCGCAGATCATT